GCTTTATGTAAAATGTTCTTAGAATCGTTTTGATGATTGATGAGCTGAAACTAGTAGTGAGTTTAATAGTGATAAAATATTTCTGTTCAGTGTTTCCTGAGGATACAGGCGGGTGTTTGAGGAGTACATGCGGGTTATTAGCCAGCGGTACCCAGACATCCGCATTGAAGGAGAGAACTACCTTCCTCAACCTATTTATAGGTAAGCTAATTATGTGCTAACATACAGTCGCTAGTAGTTTGGATAGATTAAAGTCTGTAACATGAGGAATTAGCTAACTTAATATCTGTGACAAGAGCTGAATTGCAGGAGCACACAGATCTGTGAACTGGAGCAATAGGCCTCATGCAACCAGAGCGTGCAAACTAATAATGATGTACTATTTTTGCTGTGCCGTGACCTGGATAGTTCAGGCTAGCTCAGTCTTGTCAGATCTCAGCAATTAAGCAGGGTCAGCCCTGGCTAGTACTTGGATGGGAGGCCACCAAGGAAGTCCAGGGTTGCTGCTCAGAGGCAGGCAATGGCAAAACCACCTCTGATTGTCTCTTGCCTTGAAATCCTTGTAGGATTGCCATAAACTGGCTACAGCTTGATGGCATTTTACACTCACTTTCTGTTGTTGTTGTGGTTACAGGATAAAAGTATCTTTCAGAATGTTCACAGTAATGTAGAATAAATGTAGAGAGCTTTTGGCATTCTAATACTTTGAAAAAATATGTTCATCTGTTGTAATATTACAGTGCTGTCTCTTTTGTTGTTGTTCAGTCGCACAGTCGAGTCCGACTCTTCGCGACCCCATGGACCAGATCACGTCTCTTGTGTAGATTTATGTTAATCTGAACCCAGTTGATTTCGATGGGTTTTATGCCATATTATTTATGTGTAAGATTGAACTGTTTTTTAAATGTAACATCTTCAAATAGTGTTTGTTCAGAAAACTAGTGACCTCTTCAGTGATTGATGTCTTTCTTTTGACAGGCATATAGCATCTTTCCTGTCAGTCTTCAAACTAGTGTTAATAGGCTTCATTATTGTTGGCAAGGATCCTTTTGCTTTCTTTGGCATGCAAGCTCCAAGTATCTGGCAGTGGGGCCAAGAAAATAAGGTACATATTCCACTTTTTCCCTTTAAAACATACTGTGTGATGTGCAGACTGTGGTGGAGCGGGCTAAGTGCATCCACTTTCCCCTTTATTATCCAGTGCCATTTTGGTGCAGTGGAGAAGCCAGAAACAACCAGTCCTTGGAACCTTCAGAGGGAGATGGGAGGGGGAAGTTGCTGTAAGAAAAGGACCATTTAACAGATGCCCTGCACAGTTGGGGTCTCTAGACCCTCTAGCCGGCAGGTTAGAAGTATTCCTGTCTCATCATCTGTCTTCAAGGACAAGCAGGCTGGGTGTAGTGTGGTGGCCTGGCAGGGCACACACTAATGTGTAAGCTTTCAAACTCAGTATTCCTGGGAGGGGAAAGCTGAAGGCAGCAGGAAAAGAGGGAGACCCAACATGAGATGGATTGACTCTATAAAGGAAGCCGCAACTCTCAGTTTGCAAGACCCTGAGCAAGGCTGTCAACACTAGGACATTTTGGAGGTCATTAGTTCATAGGTCGGAAGTGACTATACATGTTCCTGGGAAGAGGGACTCTTAAGGTGCAAATTGACATCTTTATGGTAAAAGCTCCAGAAAACTTAAACTAAGCTGGGAAACCAGGGAGATATTTGTCTGTCTTAGCTTTCTGGCTGACTCTCTCGGTCTTGGTAACATTGTATCGATTAGTGACACTGTTTCTCCAAGTTAAGTCTCCCCCACAACTACAATTCTATGTCGTTTATTCCTGAACACCAAGACCTTTGTTTTTGACTGCAGGAAAGTAAGTAAAGTTCAGTTCTTTGGTATATACAAGTAGACAAAGTTATAAAAGGTTAAATATCAGGGCAGTAGTGTCTCCACGGTGTGCTGGAGTCAGGTGTAATCAGCATCTGTTATTTACATCGCAGATGGCTAACATTACCAAATATTAACAGGCCGTTCATAATCAAATCTTTGAGTTCTCAGGGTATTTTGAATTTGCCTGGTGGGTAGTACAGAGTGGCATGGGAGTTAATCCTCTTCACAATCTAATGTGCTACCAGTGTGGATCTTCCCGACAAAACCTAAAAGGCCTTAGGGTTAAGTTCACATACATAAACCTGTAATCATAACTGTGAAAAAACAAGACCCACAAAGCCAGATGCAGAATGTCACACATACCATCTTCACTGCATAGCTGCTCAGTTGAAGACATGCTCAGGCTGATACTTCAGCCTAACATACCTTTAACATGCTTTACTTTTTGCTGTCACTGAGAATGTGGTTCACAAGAAGGGAAAATGAAAATGGAAACCTTTCTCTTCTCTACTCGAAATGCTAATAAAACCAAAATATTTGAGAGGTGGGTGAGTATGGGTCTTGCTACTTGAAAGTTATGAGCTTTTTCTGAGCTTTTGCAAATAAGAATTTGGGTCTTGGATTTTCGTGCCCTTTCCTGCTGCTGCCAAAAAACAATGACCCCACTGGGGCTGTTGGGAGAAGTCCTGAAAGAGCAGAATGCAGTTACACTGCCGAGTGAGTAGTTTGACTGCTTTGCTGTTGAACTGGGACGGTGATCCAAAAAGCATCCTGAGTTTTAGAAATTCTGAACAATTTATTTGAAATAACTGGGGTAAGGAATGGGTTGTATGATATCCTGGACCTGTATGTAGCTTATCTAAGGAGCTATAGCCTTGTTATGATTAGCTGAAACTTAACCGTTGACTGTGAGATCTTTGAGTGCCATGTTGCCAAGGATTGCATCATTTTTCATCCTTGGTGTATGAGAACAAAAGCATATCTAACTGGCTTGTGTAAAGGGAGCAATACCGCTAGGGCTTAAAGCCGAACCTGTAGTGAGTCATGTTGACAGTAGTCTGGTTGTGAATATATATTATGGGCATTTGTTTATCCACTTAGTAAGGGAGACTATATATTATAAACGGTACCTTTCTTGTAGTGTATTTCCTGTTGGAGTGCATCTTCTGTTATGTTTTTATGATAGTAGGGCAGCTACTGAGTTCAGTTGCATAATTTGAACACAGCAGCTGAGATTAATACTCCTCACTTCTAGGTCTATGCTTGTATGATGGTTTTCTTCCTGAGCAACATGATTGAGAACCAATGTATGTCAACAGGTGCATTTGAAATAACTTTAAATGGTAAGTTTTGAACAGCTTTTTAGCCCATGAACACAGTCCTCTTGTCTGTAGGGTCTATATGTGTATGTATAGGGGGTCAAGATACATGTTACCCGGGAGGAAGAAGTAGCATGAGGCTTAGGCTTGTTGTGCCTCACAGCACAAAAGAATTGTTCATTATGGAAGTCATGAATGAACTCCCTTAAATGTTGACAGATAACTACATGTGAACTAAAACCTAAACTATTAAAACATTTCTATCCCGCCTTAGCTTCTTGGACTCAAGGTGGTGAACAGTGTAGCACCCAAATTGCAAAGGCATAAACACAATTTACCAATTTAAAAACTTTCAGACTTAATACTCCTAAAAGTACACAGGGTTGGCAGACTTACAGCCAAATCTGCTGGAAAGGTTTGCCCTCCACCCAATCCTTTCTGTAAGAGGGCTACCTTACATTCCTTGCTCAACTTGGAAAGGGAAGATCACCTTTCCAAAGGGCTGGGCTCACCACAGGAAAGGCCCAGAAAGTGTTGGTCAGCATTAAAGTTCAAAGTTTTGTGTTGAACTTTCTCCAGGAAGTGTTTTTGAATCTTTGCTTAGTAGAGATGGAAGCACTGTATCTTAGTTGAATATAGTAAAACTAAAAGCTTATAAAAGTAGTTTTGTTTTTGGGAACAGTTGGCTATGCCTGCACCATAGGAAAGCAGACAAGTTATTAAGGATTTTCTCTTCCTTCCTGTCTTTCTCCTTAGATGTCCCAGTATGGTCTAAGTTGGAGTCTGGTCACCTTCCTTCCATGCAGCAGCTTGTTCAGATCCTTGATAATGAAATGAAACTCAATGTGCACATGGAGCAAATACCGCATCATCGATCGTAGCCCCATCCATCAGTACTGAAAACCTCTTGTAAGTTTGGGTTGAAGATTTCTCAGTGAGGCATTGATCTGGGGTATAAAATACATCATAAATGTGCTGTAAATAAGTTCTGTTTCAGATAAAGCACCATGTTTCTGATCAGAAGGAGCTTTTAGAACATCCTGGGAGGCAGCATTTTCCTTTATTTAATTGTCCTCACTAGTTTCTTAAGGGATTTGTTTCTTGTAGCATTTTCAGTGTGTAGGAGTTCATTATTTAGCTTTCAGGCCTTCTGTTATTAATTGAATATTGTGTGGCTTCCTTGGCGATGCTGGGGTATAGAACATATTTGGATTTTTTCCCATTGATCTTTCTTTGTTTATGGAACTTCCTGGTAAGTTTGTTTTGCTGTGTTTTCAGACATTAAGAGACACTTTCCAAAGGCAGCATGAACGAAATGAATGATGGCCTGTACTGAAGACAGCAAGCTGTTGGTACAGACTGGATGCTCTCCTCGCCTTCATGTTGTTCTTCCAGAAAATCTTAATGCAAGACTCCTTTCAGTGCTGGAATATTACTGCACATTCATGGAGTGCAATAATACTGTATAGATTTTTTTTTAAGTTAATTCAACCAGTTTGGCACTAGACAATGCAGGCATTAACAACTTATGTTTTTTATTTACATCTAAAAAGATGGCAAAATGAGTTAGAATCCTAAGTTTTTCCTTGGGGAAGGAAAATGTCTGATATGCTATATATAGAAGTTATGTTCTATCTGTAGTTTAAAATGGATCTGTAGGAGTATTGGTTGTCTCTTAAACTGGTTTGGATAATATGATGACTGTCAGACATTGCTGATTTGGCTATGTAATTTTTGTATATTTTCAGAGTATATTGCTGAGTGAATGGTGCAATGTATACTAAATTATATAAACAAAAAAATATGCAGAGTAACTGCCCTAAACTTTGTGACTTTAAAGAAGACCAACTGCTCTTCAGATTCCCTTGATAATTTGACGTTTTCTTTGTGGACCAGTCTAAGCGGTCAGATAGCTGGGCCTTTATACTGTCCTGAATATAAACTAAGCAAACCAATTTAAATAAAGAAATTTCATTTATGTGTGAAGTATCTTGAATCATAAATAAATTTGACCAGTTACCAGACCAATCTTTTTGAAGGTAAGTGAAGGTAAAAGAAAACTGCTTTTACTTTATTTATGAAACCTCAACTTTCTCAGTCCTTGGGAGTTCTCAGAAGACCATCATGTAACAACTGAATACTATCCTAATAATCTGCAGAGTTACATTTAATCTAGTTCTCAAAATGAGCACCACCCTACTCATTCCTTCTTGGCTGCATACAAAAGAAGGGAAAGCTTTTTGTTTGGCTGGACGGGAATGGAGGTTCATGCAGAACCAGAACTTAACTGTTAAACAATACATAAAGCATTAGCTCTCTAGCAAGAAGCAGGGGAGTCACAACCCATCCTTTTTTCAAGTATCGGTAGATTCAGGTTAAAAAGGGAGAGGCAGAAAACTTCTTCAGATGCTTCATTACTATTAATTAAAACTTATCAATATTTGAAGGCTGTAATAGGTGTGTGCATGCACTTCCCCCCTCCCCCAGCCTTTTTCCTACGTAGCATGGGGAGAAGGTTTAGTGTAGCCAGATAAAGAGTTACAAGTAGCATCTTTACTTAAAAAATGAATACGCTTACAGTTTTGAGCAGGTAGGCTGGTAAGAGTGTGTTCACCAATGGCATATTTCACTGTGAATCCTAAAAGTTAATCTACAGTTGCTTTCTCTCTGTGTGAAACAACCATGTGGCAGAAATCTAATCACAGCAAAACAGCAGACTCTGATACAAGTGAGAACTGGATTACTAGCCATTTTAATCAGAAAAATCTTCCTAGCATACTACAAATTTCTCCTGCAGCTCAAAATGGATATGGTAGTGTTCAAGGATAGTCATAGTACGTTACTCCCTTGATCATGCAACTTGGCTGTCAGTAACAGAGACTTTGTTCATCTTAAATACTGGTTGTAAAGCCTCTGTTGATGTATTGTCAGTTGTAGGAATTCTGTTTTGTCCATCAGTCAGGTAAAAGGAATGTAGACATTTATTCGCAGTTGTATGAACTCCTTTCCACTAGGTTAGGGTATGAATGCAAACACAGGAAAAATGATGTTAACACTATATGCTTGACCCAGTATTCTCAGTTATGAACTTATGATCTTTTAATAGTTTTGTTGCCAGCTTGTGTGCATGTTTTAATAAACTTGGTTGATTTAAAAAATTTTGGTTTATATCCTGAGGCACAATATATACACAGCTGGACCTCTATCTAACAAGATTGTAAGGTACAGACCACTAAAATACTCTTACGTAGTTATCTGTTGACCAACTCTGGAGCCTTTTGAGTAACCCATTAAATACCTTCAGGCTTGGGGGGTGTAATTTATAGAATCTTTTACTGATCAAACTTTTCATCCTGTTCTTCCAAGTTCAGGGTGGTTTCTGTTTCCCTTCCCTCCATTCTATCATTCAGCCCTGACAGACAAGTTGTGCTGAAAGAGAGAGCATGATTGTTCCAAAGTAATCAAGTGAACAGAACGGGGATTTGAAGCTGGGTGTCTCCTATCCTAGTCTGATACTAATCTCTTTAGTACGCTGGCTCTCTAGGAGTTCAAATACATCCACTGCGGTTCTTAACCTGCACATCAATCATGTGCTTTCAAACTAAGAAAATGAGAATGTACCTGTGTTTATAGTTCATTATGTTGCTAGGTGATGAATTTTCACAAGCTGTTCCTGTACAGGATATCTAATCCACAATGCTTTTCCTAGCCTTCCTGCCTAAGTGGACAGTGACTGTAATAGGCACTTCAACATGTGCGCGTAGTGTGGCTACTGTTTGAGAAGAGTTGGTGGCTTGCAGCATCTGGTCAATGAGTAGTGCTGCCATTGCCGTTCTGCTCCACTCAGCAGTCCAGGGTAGCGACTCAGGTGAAAGCTTGCTGCTTGGCAGGTAGTTTGAGTAGAGAAAGAGGTACTTTTCTCCCTTTCTCACAACACAAGAACTCATGGGCACTCAATGAAATTGCTGAGCGGTCGGGTTAGAATGGATAAAAGGAAGTACTTCTTTACCCAAAGAGTGATTAACACATGGAATTCACTGCCACAGGAGGTGGTGGCGGCTACAAGCATGGACGGCTTCAAAGGGGAATTAGATAGGCATATGGAGCAGAGGTCCATCAGTGGCTATTAGCCACAAGGTATAGATAGGGGCTCTGGGGCAAGTGATGCTCTGTCTTCTTGGTGCTTGGGGGGGCCAACAGTGGGAGGGCTTCTAATGTCCTGGCCCCACTGGTGGACCTCCTGATGGCACCTGGTATTTTTGGCCACTGTGTGACAGAGTGTTGGACTGGTTGGGCCTTTGGCCTGATCCAACATTGGCGTCTCTTATGTTCATATGCTGCCCGTATGGTTACAGCCACCGTATGCTGACCTTTTATGTAGCAACCTTGGGGTTAACCGCTTGTTGTAGTGGTTAGGAGCGCAGACTCTAATCTGGGAGAACCGGGTTTGATTCCCCACTCCTCCACATGCAGCTGCTGGTGTGACCTTGGGTCAGTCACAGTTCTCTCAGAGCTCTCTCAGCCCCACCTACCTCAGAGGGTGGTTGCTGTGGGGAGGGGAAGGGAAAGAAGATTGTAAAGTGCTCTGAGATTCCTTCAGGTATTAAAGGGTGGGGTATAAATCCAATCTCCTCTTCCTCCTTAATATGACAGCTTCTATTTGTTAGGAGTGTAACGTAGATGGCCTGGGCTAGTCCAATCTTGTCAGATCTCGTAAGCTAAGCAGGTTCAGCCCTGGTTAGTACTTGGATGGGAGACCACCGAGGAAATCCAGGGTCGCTATGCAAAGGCAAGCACTATTCTGAATGTCTATTGCCTTGAAAACCCTACAGGGTCACCATAAATCAGGTGCAAGTTAATGGCATTTTCCATCATCAGTCTTATGTCTGTTGCAAATTGAAACAATGTTACTGCCTTCATTCTGCACATCTTAGTTTGGGTGCATGTTGGGTTTATTCCCTTGCTCTTTTGATAAGGACATTTTGGAATTCATTAATTCATAGGGTCTCCATAAGTCAGAGTGACTTGCACTTGATCCCTTCTACTTTTTTAATTTATGAAATGTTTTTTTAAATAGGAAAACAGTTGATTAAAAAAAAGTTTGGTGGAGAGAAAGAGAAAACATTCACAGTTGGCCAGTAAGCCACTAGAACCTAGGTGGCACATTAACAAAAAAGGTTTCTTATGAGTGAGAGAGGAAAGAACGTTGCTTTGAACTTGGTGAGGATTGGAGTGAAAGTATTTTAGAGCACCTGAGAACCTTTACCATATAACATTCTTGGATGTTCATAGTCAAGGTGTGAAGTAATAAGCACTCTAAATAAAAGATGGCTTTTAAATTTTTAAGGACTTTGTACTCGGCCCCGTTTTTCACTCTACAAAGAGCTTCATCTTTTAGACTACAAAATTAATGTTGGGCTTCTAAAATACAAGGCTAACATGTTAGACCAGAGACATCAAACTCTTAAATTTTATACCTAGGAAATAGTTACCTTATTTCACTTGTTGATACCACTAAGTGGCGGTAACTATTTTCCTGCTCAGAAAACCAATTTCTGTAATTCTGTGCACTGTCTCTTGTGATTGCATCTCATTGCTCTTTAAAAACACAGGTAAAAGCTTCTGGCCCTAAAAGGTTGGCAAATGTTCTGTGTGAATTGCTTAGAAACAGCCAAAAGGTAACAAACCCCTTTGGAGCAGTGTTTGCAGAGCTATTTTTGGATGCTGTCTTGGTAGTTATTAACAAGAAGTCACTAGTGATACCAGTCTTGTAGTGCTTGACATAATATCAGAATCTGCAATAAATGTAAAGTTAATGAAAGCAGACTGTTTGGACAGAGGATAAATTGACAGTGTACTGGAGTGAGTCTCAGTTGACCAGTTTCATGCAGCTAGCTAAATATAGCAGAGTCAAGTACATCGTATATTTGTGTCTATATGCTGTAATACAGAAAACACTTAAAATTCAATTGTTCACATATGCAAAAGCCTGGACGCTTGTTTTGCTCAACATAGCAAGCTATTTGTGTGAGAAAGTTCACCTCATGGTCACCCTCAGGAGCCAGTGCTTTAGGGGGAAAGGGGATTACAGTGAAGTGGTTGTAGTTGTATGGGAATGCGCTGTTAAGGGATAAAAGATACTATCAAAAAAGTCCATCTTGTACTCCCTACCCCTAATTAATATACACTTATCAAAGGATGAGCATAAAGGACATGAATAATTTGTTTAACTATAGCTGCTGCTGTTTACTTCATTCTAGAAAACTGAAAATTTGCTTTTCTACTAAAGGAAGTTTCTGGTATTTTAGAAGTGTACCTGTTCCCACCCTCCTCATTTTTGCTTCGGTATTTTTCCATCGGAAGTGTAATAACAAAATTATAATGTTCTGTCACTGGTGTTGGATGGATTTGGGTGTCTTTTTTTAAGTAGTAAGGTATATCTCAGCTTTCTTAGCGCTACCATCTCTTCTCTTCCTGCCATTTCACCAGCACCTTTAAATCATAGTGTAGTTAGAGGGAAAAGAGAGCTTTTTGTGATTGAGATATATATAAGTATCACAATAATAACTTTCAATTTCCAATGTCTTTATGTGCTCTGAGTTCAAAATAGTTCAAGCCTTGGACTGGAGTCAAGGATGCTCTTCTGCAAGCAGGAGGCAAGGAAACATCTGTGCTTCTATGGGTGGGAGGTGACTGCTGGTGGTGAGCAAGCAAGTGACTCCTGCCTTCCACCCATACCATGTCTGTTTCTGGTGCAAGAGAACTCTCCCATTCAGGTTGTCTCACCACCCTGCCTATGACTGTGTCACCAAGATGCCCTAATTAACTTAAGTCTCCCTGGTCCTTTTACCCAGTCATCTATCCAGCCACCCCCATGGATTGACTCTGTGTTTATAAATGTCTCCTTACCATCATGGCATACATCCGGGGACCATCTTGTTTTAATTGAGTATTATTGTTGTTGTGATTAATTGTTATTAATGTTTTTATTGCTTTTACCTTGTTTTATATGGGCTTTGCCCCTTGTAAGCCGCCCTGAGCTCGCTTTGCGGGGAGGGGGGGTAAAAATCCCAATAAATAAATAGTGATATGCAACCCATTCAACAAAATAGCACAATTTCAACAAACCCCTGACCCAGACTTCTAAGGGCTCCCAAACTGCCAGTACCCTTAATCTCTTTATCAACTGTGCCCTGGAGGGTTGATTCTTCTCAAGGCCCAGTAGGATAGGAAGTTGTATCCTGACCGCTGGGGCTACTGTCTGGATAGAACCCCACCAGCCAGGTGGAACTTACTGGCCCAGGCTAGAAGCTGGGTGTGGATGATAAAAACCAGGAAATGTTCTGGCAGACTCATGCAGTACAACTCCCTTATCTATCAGCAAAAGAGAAAAATGGCATCCTAATTTTTCATAGTTGTGGGGAAAGTTAGAACAAATGTAAATAAAATTGCAAGTTACTGTGATTTCAGTAGGGATCCAAATCAAAGGGCAGGTGAGGTGGTCAAATCGGTAGAAATGGAATTAACAGCTTTGTTTACTATATTGCTTACATCACGGCTCAGGAGGAAAAGTGAATGTGGTTCTCTTAAACCGTAACAGGTGAACAAACACTGCTGGCTGTATATGCACACACATGGAGAGATCATGCACTTTCCCTGCGTTTATCACATGCACTTCTTTTCTGTAGACAAATGCAAAAACATTTAGGCTTTCATAGAATCAAAGAGTGGGAAAGAACCTCCAGGGTCATCTAGTCCAACCCCCTGCTTCCTGACCCCAAAGTGGTGATCAGCATTTCCCTGGGTGTGTAAGAAAGGGCCATGAGATCTAAGCACTGATGCAACCCTTCCTGCCCTCCCTTCTCGTGATCTGCCTAAATTAACAGAATCAGCATTGCTGTCAGATGGCCATCTAGTCTCTCTTTAAAAACTCCAAAGAAGGAGAGCCCACCACCTCCCGAGGAAGACTGTTCCACTGAGGAACCGCTCTAACAGTGGGAATGCACACCGATATTCTGCCACTATGCTTGTTCCCTCTCCTGTTCATGTGCATGTGAAGGCAGGCCAAGGGAGTGGGAGAGAAGAAGAAATGGTCTGTAGTCAACCAGAACAG